GACCTGATCCCCACTGATCACTGCAGTGAAAAATTAGTGCTGTCTGTATGGAACTCTAAATTCACATCTTGGCAAGTGGGAACACTTGATTCCGTAAAATCCTCACCAAACTGGGAAATCCAATGAAATTCTGGAATGAGTTCCATATACTGACAACACTTAATGCCCCTGTGCACAAACCTTAAGTGTTTTTAAGTAGGCCTAAATGCTTCAGAATTTTCTTCGCTAAAGTTAACTTTTGAGGACATGTTATCACATTCTGACGGCAGTTATAACATTTTAAGGGAAAAGTAGTGTTGTACGTATGTGGAATTTCCAAGATTCCTGTGCTACAAAGTTAACGCAAAATATGCTTTTTTCTGTGGATGTGAAAGAAGGCACATTGTGTGTACTGGTAGGGTTATAGAAATACATGTAGAGGCAAAGTCTAGGCCTATGCCAATCCACAGATGGGCACACAAATTATTTGCATGTAATGTGGGCAGTCAACGGAGAGTTTGGTAATAGTAGTTTATTATCACAGGAGTAAAATCATGATTGTAATCACTGTGGTGATTGAATGAGATTCTGGTATCATGGCATTATGCTGGTAAGCTCCGGGGTAGATTTAATTTTAGAATTCTGTCTGTTTTCCTCCCTACAGTATACGGAAACAAAAATGCACAGGTGGAAAAACAATCCATTTAAACTCTTCCATGCTACATGTGTGACTGATTTCAACACAGGCCGTTGGACCTAGGTTCTTAGTTAGCAATTTGGCAAAGGTTGAAACTGGTGAAGGTTAGGTAAATAATGATACCATGCTGTGCACTGGTTGATAAAATAAATTATTTTACGTACATGTATGTTACATTTAAAAAAAAAATAAAATGCATCAGAAACGTAAAACAGAAAACTTGTAAGTCATTTCCCATAAATGAAAAAACCACATGTACAGGTTTTTTTTTCTGGCGGAAATGTACATGTACTGTACATGATATGAACCATGGTACTAGTGCACGGGTCACACTTCATTGATCAGAACACTCCCTAAAGCTATCACTGGCCTCAATCTGAGAATTGAAGCATGAAAGATAAACAAGGTCATACAAGAGGAAACCCCAAACGTTTATCCCATGGTCAAACCACTCTGCTGACCACTAGAGAGGGTCCTCAGGCGTATGGAATTAGTTCCACTGGTACATTGTGGAAGTTAAAAGGCTCCAGACTTTTCAAAGGCCAATAAGGTGATGGTTTGTTTACCCTCAATAGGAGAGTAGATAAGGGTTGGATGTCTGTTCCTTAAACTCATTATTGCTACACTTTTGTGGTTTTGTTGGAAAACCCAAAAGGTGGAGGCATCTCTTGATCTCGAATGGGGAAAGTGTGCCAGGATCTATCCTTGGTTGAATGTCAAGGCAAGTTGAGCTGATGTAAGTCAGCCTAAGTTACACAGCATGGTTTCTTGTCTTGTTATCTGCCCACTTATCCTGCAGCCAGGCAAAGGCCGATTTGGAAAGTTTCTGCTGGTTATTAAATTTACAAACAGCAATTTTGTTACACGAATCTTTAACATTGGCAAAGAAGTCTTTACATTTCTGTCAAAATTATTTGGTGCAGTGGAAATACGGCCTCTGGTACGCGTAACACCAAAGGGTGTTCATTGCTAGAATTTCCTGGGAGTGGACAGGCAGTTTTCAAGTGTGGTTGGTGAGGAACAGGGAGGTCATCCACTCCTACACCCCCCCGAGACAGAGTAAAATGATAGAACTATGAATCTGGCCTCCTCTGCCCCCCCTCCCCCAAAAAAAACTTTGCATGAATCTTCACAAAGTTAAAACAAACTGAGGTTTTTGAAGCTGAACTTTGATACCATTGCTCTCTGGCTGCATAAATTATAAAATCCTGTCAATTGACCGTCAGATCACATGTACATGTACAATTAAGTTTGAATATCAGTTCGATATGGTGTGCACCTTTGATGTCACAGTCATGTTTTTCTTACAAGTGACCGCAAAAACTTTAGGTAAGAGCATGAGGTTTGCATTGACACCATGTGGATTCTCTCTTTTGTGAGTGTGTGTGGTTTTGAAACTTTGGTTGGCCGTCGGTACAAAAGTAAAAGAATGTAATTCACACAGTGTTCAAAATCCCACACAGCTATCAGAACATGGAATAACAATACACGCACAACTAAATATTAAATGAAAATCTAACCCTATTTAAAATTAATGGAACAAATGTCAATTTGGAACAAATTGGAGGTACATGTAAAAATCAAAAGCCGACCAAAAGGTGATGTTTCTGCAAACTTTGGCTGACCATACATCGACAAGTTTTAGGGGAATTGAGAGTGGTCTATACAGTGGATTTGGAATACTTTAGTACTTGAGCACATCTCAACCATTTCAGACAGGTGCAATTTTTGAGTTTTGAGCGAACTTTTTGTCAAAAGATGTAGTAACTCTGAGGGGCTTGCAGACTTTTGAGATTGGCCTATGGTAGTGCTCTGTAAAGCATTCAAATAGGCAGCCACATATATTCTGTGGTTTGTCTAATTTTTGTTCAGCCAGTCTTACATTTCTTCATCTATTCACAGACCTTAAATCTTAGTGATATCCAGTAAATCATCATCCGTCACTTCTAATCATGATCACTGATGACCATGATGACAGAGCATGACCGTTCTCAGTTCATGAAATTTGATCACAGCTGGAGTGCCGTCCAACATGCACAAACACAGGGACATACACAAATCTTAAATCTTAGTGATATCCAGTAAATCATCATCCGTCACTTCTAATCATGATCACTGATGACCATGATGACAGAGCATGACCGTTCCCAGTTCATGAAATTTGATCACAGCTGGAGCGCTGTCCAACGTGCACAAACACAGGGACGTACACAAACACGTACACGTACATGCCTGGGTACATGGCTACAATCTGATCACTAAGCTTTATTCTCTTCATGTGCACCTCCCTTCTCATCCTTAACTGTCAAACAGGAATTTCAGCACATGCTCAAATTATGCAGTCTGTTTACTTTACCGCTGTCAGTCCAGCTGATGTTCATGTGCCCGCTGTAAATTGCAACCGTTACATGTGTCAACATGTCTTGTTTTTCCTCCGTACATGTACGTGTATGTACCCACATGTAAAATGTATACGTGTTGCTGCAGTGAGCCATGCATGTAGCCGCATTCACTCCCACGCAAAGGCAATCACCATTCATGCAATCTAAACTTCTGGAGATAAATTTTGAGAAATCTCAAAAAACACTTCTAGCATCTACCTGTAAGTAAAAACAGAATAGACTCAAAGAGCTGTAGCAATACGATAGATTCCCCTGTACTTTTTCCTTGCTCTTCAGTTTACTGTCCTTTATCCTGCCTCTTGTCAACAACTCTCTGCTCTTCAGTGATTGAACGAGCTGAGTAATATGTACACGTTGTATGCTGAGGGTAGGGTGTTTTGATAGGAAACAGCTCCATTTTGCTAGCTGTCTCTGGCATTCATATTTGAAGCAAGAATGATTCTAGCTTTTGATTTGCCGCTTTCTACCGGTAGCTATGGCAGCCTGCTGGGTAAACCACAGTTTTTGACCAGTTTACATTGCCATAGTGGATTTGGTCTCATGGGAAATTATAGTTTGCTTAGGGGACATACCCAGAGGACAAATTTTGAATCCAACATTCCGACCCAGAAACCGTCCTTATGAAAAGTGCTGGTGGCTTTCTGGAAGGCTTTCAAAACTCAATTGTTGGACACCGCTCAAGTTTCTATGACTCAACTGGAGTGGAGAATTGGCTTCCCGCTAAGGCTGCCCTAAATGCCAAATGATATCAACACAGATCGGAGGCAGACGTTTTCACATTCCGTCGTAGGGTTCAGTTTGCGGTGTTGGTTCTACAAACACAATTTGATGAATCTTTTCCAACCCGCTGTGTTTTCACCCAGAATTTTAGATGTGGCCCGCCTTTTGTACAAGTTTGTATTTGTCAATCCTCTGGGAATTTTTCAATCAGTGGCTCAAGTTCTCAAAGAAATTATACACCTACCGATACATATATAAGGGTTGCAATTTGACAAGCAAACAGTTCCATTTTTCTTAGATTTTGATTCCAAAGTGTGAGTCAATGCTTTCCTATGGGAAAATGTTAAGGTCAGAGCGTTTGTTCATAGTCAGGAAGGAAGGAGGCAGACTGTGAGAAAACTTGTAAGACATTCTGCAAGTCTGACAGAGAAAGATTATCGTAAATTTGAATGCAGGCCAAATCAAAAGTAGAGAGAGGGACAAGTACAGAGGTGAAAAGAAAACTTACAGGGTTGAAATGACGCACTCACGTCACTCTACCGAGAACTAACAATAATGCATTTCAAATTTAAAGGTACAGCGTCGTAAACTAAAAATTTTATGCATTGTCAGAGGAATCAGGTTTAATTTACAGACCCAGGTGAAAAAAGGTCTCAGGGAAAAAAACTTTCAGAAGTGTAGTCTTTATTTTGCTTACATCAGGATAGTTATGAGTACCTTGGGTTATTTGTAAATGGTCATTGAACTTTGTGTAAACGATTAACTGGGACAAACCCAGTCTTCCTCAGGAAAATGTTTCCCATAAATTCTGTAATTGCTGGGTAATCTTATCCCAGAATTGATGAAATTTGTATTGTGTCTGTCAGCCTGCGGTTTCTCCGCTCACATTCACCGTGGTTTGGTTAATAATTTTCATTGGTGACTGTAAATGTTTTACAACTTCCAGGAGAGAGTGAGTGAGTCATTTTCTCATCATGCATATTTGCAAAGCTTATTAGGTTTGACCTGTCAAGAAGGCCTAGTTACATAGACAGCCAGTTGGCCTGAGGTATATCGTGTACGTGCTCATAAATTTGTTATACCTTACACTGCTAAATTATCTTATTTAAAGGAGCAGAAATATACAGTTCTGATACATATGCCTTTAACAAATAGCAGGTGCCTATATGGTTGGCCTTAGAGAGGACTTTAATACCCTGTAAATTAAACTTAAATTAAGTTTAATAAAAATACTATCCATGGACACAATGGAGATGAATTTCATTTGGAATGAATTGGATTGATATTGCTTTAAAATTTCTGTGAATCTTCCCCCCATAATTTTGGATAGTTTCTGCACAAAGATTATGCATACAATACTAACCTCTTTATGACTCGCTGACTGTGTGTAATGTACATGTACAGCAAACATTCTGTAAGTGGACATGGAATGTGTGCATGGGTACCGGTACCCATAATGCCTCCTGTCTGGTGATTAAATTCAATTATTGAATGGGTCATTTGAATGTGAACTTGTACTGCGGATTGTCCCTTCATTGTTACCCCTCCAATTCAATGGAACGATCCCACCGTTGCTAGTTATGTGTGCTGGAGCATAATACCCTGATGTTATTATAGACCAGTTCACCGCCCTGAAAGGTGATATCACTCAGCCTGTGCATTTATATGGTGTCTGGCTACAGACTGAAGGGTTAGTATCCAGGATTATGTGGATTTCTTGCTGGCTGTATTCGGATCTCCCACTGCTCAAGTCGCAAATTGGTTTGTGTGTTGGGAGAGGGAGGATAAAACCAAGTACTGTGCATGTGCCGTGACTATCAAGGGTGTTCCCTGACTATTCAATGGATCTGTACTCACATGGGAGATGTACAAGGTATTTTTTGACTGGCTGCTGAATTTGGATCATAGATGTTTGGATTGACATCTGGAACGTTCTCTGTGAGTAATCCAGCATTAGTGGATTGATTTGGAGGTTTAAAGTGCACTAGGTACTGACATTGATTTGTAGGGTTTCTTAGGAATTTGGTTGATCATTGGTCAAGCGGTTTTGGTTTTGAGCAGTTTAACAGGCATGAATTGGAACCGATTAAGATTTTACTTTGTTTCCTTCAGTTTTTGGATTTGAATTTGCTAAGAAGCACTGAAGAGTGCCAAATTGTTTTGTACTGGCTCATAATCAAAACAAGTGTTGGACTGCTTTATCTGTACAGATTTGATTTGATTTATTTGTTATTCCAGTGAAGTGGATGGAGAGTGGATGGCATTTACATTTTTGTGCACTGATTATCATATTTAGCCCAGTCAGTTTACATTCAACAGTGTTCAAAAGTCTCTGATTTACACGTAAGAAATCATCTCACAACTGGTATGAATCTAGGATGTAATTTATTTCCTTAACCTGATGAGTGCCACTTGGCAGAAAATCATACTCTGTCCTGGTTGCCTAGGTTACTGTCAGTTTCTGCAGCTTTCTTAGTCATGACACAGTTTTATCAATAAGCCCACCGAGTCTTGTAGTTGTACTGAGCTACGATCTACATGTATACACGAGACTACAGCTAAACACAAGTTAGTGAGTTAATCACAAGTTGAAGTTGAGGGACACATGGCCCTTTGCTGTGTCATATTTGTTTGGAAGAACTGCTCCTTTTTTTCAAAAGGATCACACTTTGGACATAAAGCCTGTACTACTACAAAGCCATTAGGCAGTGGCTTTCATCATTAGCTGACATACATAGTGCAGTATACATCATTGCCAGCTGTGTAGCCACAAGTTTTTTTTCCATCATATGGCTCTTTGTTTTTTCTAGTACTGGCCTACACAAATGTAGACAAATGCAGCCGCTCAGGGATTAAGGATCATGAATACATTAAAAACTCTATTCAATTCTGGGAAAGGAAGGAAAATCCACTTGAGCCCATTCAGTTTGCTGAGCTTCATGTTCCAGACTGAGTGGTTCAAGAGTTCTGGGAAGTACAAGTTCTGTACTGCACATGGACAGCCTACACTATGTACATGTACCGGCCTTGTGTAAGGTGGGTTTATAAACGGGATGAAACATGTTCAGTATAGGGCCTTGGGGCACATTCACAACTGGCTGTGAACTTTGCTGCCTTCACCTATTCTGGTAGGCTGGCTTTGTACAAATGCACTTGTAAAGTACTGGGCTGCATGTACATGTACCTGTTCGTGTGTTAAAATGTAGGTGATGCATGGACTCAAAGCATCACAGAGACCAAGTTGTTTGTTCCCACAATGCAGTCTAGACATTCTTAACAAAAAGAAATTATCCTGTCAATGTCATAATGGCCTGTGTATTCACTGCAGGTGTTATAGTCTGGTTGCTTGTAACCTGAAACAAAATTTGATAGGTTGGATGGAAACATGTAACACCTTGTAGAGTTGAAAACTTATATTTCTCATAAGTTTTTGTGGATGAAAATTGATAAGGAATTTGTTGCAAGTTACAATACATTACTCTTTTTTCCCAAATTTTTCCTGCAGAATTTGCTCATTGAACAGTGTTGCTAGCAAGTGTGACATACGGGATGTAATCATCAGTTAATATGTGACCAATTCACTCAACGTTGTCAACCCGCTTACCCGCTGTTGTGCGTGCTTGCTATACCGGGGTTAGAACTCATTGTTCCCTGGAATTTGGAAAACCACTGCTTCAGATTATAGAGAAGCCTTTCCATTGCCTTTTGTTGCTCACCGAACCTACTAGTGTTCCCTACAAATAAACCCAGCCCATGAGGGGAGAGAACTTGGCCTATTGTGTTGTGGTCATGCACCTGGTCTGACTGGTGAGTGTAAAGCTTTATTATTCCTTGTTTCATTTGATTTGGAAACCCACTCATAAAAATGAAGCATACATGTCTGCATGATTTAAGATTACCATTAATTGGGCAATACTGTTTAATGTGGTTATTCAAGTGGTTATTCAGAATTTGCATCTTGGCATGAACAGAAAAAAAGCTCTTTTTAGCTTGTTATAGTTGAGCTCTGAAGACAAATGACACTTCGTTCGATTTGGACGCTTCCGTATTTCTTTGAATAGATGAAATCAGAGAAAATATATTTTCCCCAGTGGTGCTTTTTAAGTACATACCCAATAGTTATACATGTACTTAGTTACTGCTTGGAAACTTTTTCCAGGCAGATCAGAAAACTACCAAGTATGCACATGTCCATGGACATGTGGGGCTTACAGTACTTCATTGCCACTGGTACTCTCCTGTCGTTCTAACAGTCACAGAGGGTCAAAAATTCCTTCCATATCTCTTGCTGCAGTACCTCCTAGACATACACATAGGTATCACAAGTCATTTGACTGAGTTAGACTGATGGAACAACTGTGCAGTATACCGTGCACCTTTGCCCAGGAGTAAACACAAGAACAAATGCTGAACGTATCATTTCTGTCTTGGGTGCTGTAGGGACCAGTACCACAGTGCAATGTACATTGAAAATACATGTACCACGCAAAGCCAACAGACACTGTGATTCACCCCCTTGGGCCCACCAGTGCACCTTTGGTGTGTATTATTTTAGCTGTGAACCATGGCCTTCACTTTTTCAACACCCCTATTCTTTGACCCCAGGTCACTACAGTCATGGACAAAGAATTTGTTACATAGTAAAAGCCTGCAAGTCCTCAATGGTGTTGTTACTGGCAGGCCAGCCTTGCCTACCTGGACTTGTGTGAATAGACTGGACTTCTGAATTCCAATTGTAATGGTTTCATAGTTGACATGCATACACTTTGTGCCTGCCCCTAAAGTACCAGTATAAAATATGAAATGCATTGGGTATGTTTTATTTCACCCTTGCCGTAGTGAAGCCAAAACCATCCCATTGGAGGCATTTGGATTATGGCAGTGACAATGGGAATTATGTGACTTGTTTGATCTTGTTGGATTTTCAGCAAAATCCCTACGCCACCACAAGGGTTGTTCACTATATATTTATTTTGTACATTGCACATGTATGTGTAGGCCTTTCATTGCTTGTACAGCAGGCTTAGATATTAAAAAAAAGTATTTGTATAAGATACCGGTACATATACATGTACTACCATACATGTACTACCATACATGTACTACCATACATGTACTACCATATATGTACTACCATACATGTACATGTACTACCATACATGTACTACCATACATGTACTACCATACATGTACTACCATACATGTACTACCATACATGTACTACCATACATGTACTACCATACATGTACTACCATACATGTACCACCATACATGTACCACCATACATGTACCACCATACATGTACTACCATACATGTACTACCATACATGTACTACCATACATGTACTACCATACATGTACTACCATACATGTACTACCATACATGTACTACCATACATGTACTACCATACATGTACTACCATACATGTACTACCATACATGTACATGTAATCATGCACTTTGGTCCATATATGTGAATGAATAAAACATGTGCCAGCCATTTGTATTTGACATGTATAGTCAAGGGTGGATTGGAGGGATGGGGCAGTGGGGACCATGGCACACCCCTCCCCTCCTGCAAAAAAACTTAGTGAATTTTGTTTTTTAAATCAAAAAGAAGATACTACTATGTGTGGAGGTTGTTTTGTATGGACAGAGCTATTTTGTTCAGGAAATTGTTTCTGAGTAGCTGCTTAATTGTGACTGGTATTATGCAAGTGTACCGCGGACACTGCATACTGGTTTTGACACCCCCCCAAAAAAATTGGGTCTGGATCTGGCCTTGTTTAAGGTAAACTTGCCTTTACTCTTTGAGGTTTAATTTGCCATATTGTCAGCGTGCCCTATTGGATGCAAACACCTGCATTGTTAGATCAACAGGGAAATGCATTGATGTCACCTCTGTTGGTCCTCCAAAGAAATGCAACCCAGCAAAAGTAACTCAACTTCAAAACTGTAATAATCTAAGTCATAGAGTTGGGAAGTCACTGACACGTCAGTCTGATCATATTTCAGTGTCCCGTTCCATTTCCATTGGTTCCTTCATCATGGGAACCAACTCTGTCACTTAGTCCCTACCATGGGAAATCAGTAATCCTAGTAATCAAAAGTACACTGAAACCAATTATCTTCATCTCTCTGCCAATTAAGGAAAATTGATGTAAACACCCATAGTAGGTCTGTGCACCCTGACGAAAATTACCCAGATTTGATTGATCACGGAAGACTTGCTTGCCATGTCTTGAGTTAAGAGATGAGATAAAAAAAAAAAACCAGCGAATAAAACTGGTTACATGTATGACGTGGAAAGGTTAATGTACATGTAACAGTATACTGGAAGAACTATATACATGTACGTATACATGTACATGTATTTACAGTCGAACACGCTTAATACAAGCTTGAGGGACTCTCCAAAATCCTTGTCAATGCAGTAAACCCCATGTTATATGTGTTGACACTTATCGCATTCATGGAGGGCAAGCGTGGCACCAGCAAGCATTGCTATATACATGTACACTACGGCAATGTATACATACTGCAAGCCTACATGTACATGTACATGTAGGCCTACACTAGGATACGCTAGATGCAGTGGATTAGTATTCACTACATGTACAGGTATACATGTACATGTATATGTATTCACATATTCATGTACATGTACATGTGTGTATTCACATGTACATTCACATGTATGTATCCACATGTACATTCACATGTATGTATTCACATGTAAATTCACATGTATGTATTCACATGTAAATTTACTGGTATGTATTCACATGTAAATTCACTGGTACATGTATGTATTCACATGTACATTCACATGTACATTCACATGTACATTCACATGTACATTCACATGTACATTCACATGTACATGTATGTATTCACATGTACATGTATGTGTATTATTACATGTACAGCACATGTACATGTACATGTTACATCTGCAGACTCTGTTACACATGTACAAGTGCATGTACCAAAAAGCTTCAGTCTGCTTCAGTCAGATCAAGTTTACATTGTTACAGGAAGTGAATTGTCTGGCAATTGGAGTCAATCACTGGAAATACAGGAAGTTATTAGATGACTGTCTAAAATGTTGAGTGACACGTCAGTTCGCTGAAGTCAAAATGTGGGCAGTTGATATAAGTTATGTCAGTGTCGGAAATTGATGTGACTGAGGTTTCACGAATGAAGGTATTTCATAGAAACAGTGATGCAATGAAAAATGAATAACGCTGTGTTATGTAAATACACAGTGTATGGTTATGCACACTTGTGGTGTGGTTGCTTCTATTGTGTGGTTTGGTTTATCCTTTTCACACCCTACATGTTGGACTGTTCAACATCGCAAAAAAATGTTTGAGATATGCCAGAGGTGGCCTGCACAAGTATTCATCATGAACTGAAATTTGCTGATTTGAATAGGACTTCGACATTCAGCTATGCGTATTTCTCGCCTTTTTTGATTTTTTTTTTGCCTATAACTTAGGCCTACCCTCTTTGACAATTTACAGACAGCAAATTCAAACAGGACTTACGTACGGTACCAAGTTGCAGCAGCATGCATTTTTTCCTTCAGCGCAGGCATTGAATATCATTTCAAGTTGTCAGCTGTTGTCGTAAAACCTGCTCTGTGCGTTTGATTTACGGCAATCTGGGATCTTCATCTAAATGAAAGGTCATGTAGAGGTACACTCTTTGTCTCATCATCGGGGAGTGGACATTAGCACTGCGCAGTTTCAGTTTGTGTAGGATGCCTATTACACTGGCAGATGTGTAAAGTTTTCTGCGGTAAGCCCTTTTCAAGTTTTCTTTATTATTTCAGTGTTAGACAAAATGCATGTACGTTGGTAGATGTGAGTACACATGTACCGGCACTGGTATGCTGCTAAATTAATTTTTCCATTAGCCTAAAATTTCAAGCAAAACTATCTGAATCCGCTTACAATTTAACCCCCAAAACTGAGATACAGTATGCAGCCACATGATTTTTGACAGTCATTGTTCAATATACCGGTACATGTACATGTACCCAAATGTGCGCGGAAACATGCATGTCTTTGAAGTCTCACATCATTCTAGCGCACATGAAAATGCCAATAAGACCTAGACTCGAAAATGCACGGGCATCCATGGACATGGTTTGTCTCCTAAAATGCCTTTGCCCGTCAAGTTACCGGTGCGTCACGTGAAAAACATCTATTCAGGCCAAAAAAAATTCACAGGGGTAAAATTTCAGCTTTCCATTAGTGTTCCATTTCCAGAGGAATTTTTGCAGAGGTCTTGTGGCATGTGGTTCAAGTGAAATGAATTGGGCATCGCATTCAAGCTTGATTTCCAACACCCCTGAATTTTGGTGAGAGTTGCACTGTGAAAATACCGCTAGTATGGGATAGGTCAGGAAACAGGAAGCATTTTTGGCCTCATGATACAACAAGATTGCCTGAATTATCAAAATTATACCTGATTATAACCAGAACTATTTGGAACACAAAGACAAAGAAAACAAAATTCATGGAGACTTCCCAATTTGCTTTCTGTGAGAGTACATGCTTTACACGGTGTTCTGCACAGTGAAAGCTGAATTTGACATTCCAGACTTTTCTCTGAGCCTGAGAGGTATTTCATTAATCAAAGTTCATCATTTCAAAGTCTCTGGGTTTTTGTGTTTTGAGTTTACCATGTACATGTGTACCAAACACTCTAGACTGCTGTACATACATGTAGGACTGTAGGGCATGTAGGCGCCTTGTGGTAATGGGAAGAAGAGTTGTGCTTAGTTACCGGGCACGCAA